CTACAGATGAAGTACAAGACATTTTGCCTATAAATAAATGGGCCAGCAAAGGATTCATAAGCTGCTTGGGCCTGTCAATTGGGTTGAAGTGGGAAAGTTTATAATATTTATAATAAATCAAAGAACTGTTTAAAACATAAAATAAAAAAATAATGCGCGCTTTTGTGCGCATTATAGTGCTTTTGGGCGCATTTTTGTGGTCAACTCTGCCGTTGACCGCATTTATGCACGCATACGGGGTATGCGACGCGTTTCAACGACGCCTCACGCGTAGCGCTTAAGCGACGCATTAGGCCGCGTTTTAGAACACTGAAATAGACATAACATCTAAAGGACATTCTCGTCTTTCTCAGCGGTTTGTACAAATATTGAAATTTTATGGGGTTGGACAACGAAATCGATTAACCGTAAAAACAAACTGAAATTGTTTTTTTTTTTTTTGAAACCGTTGGCTTAGATCCACGCGAATTCGTTGACATTTTGATTTTGAACCAAATCAAATCGCTTTGAAATAGTTTGATTTAGGTTTCAATCTTTACAGACCAATAAAAAATAACTAAAAATAAATTACTTTAATTTTATCCAACTCAATTAAAACTAATCACGTCTCATTTAAAAAGTTACATCCATATAAGATATAACCCAATAAAATTCAATAGATGAGTAGACAATTACCCATCACAATTAATTAGTTAATTCATATTCAAATATGCATCAGGCATCACAACCGTGAACACAAAATTCTCAAATTGGGAGAAGTGTTGAATAACTGCTTAACCATATTCATTGACCGCCCCAAGACAATTGAGTATGCAATTAATCTAGATTTTAATTCAAACTCAACTATTATTTCCTTTTACTAATAAATTTCTCAAATTTGGGCTAATTTTTAAAGTCAATTTGTCCAAAAAAATTTTGGTAATTATTTGTTACGTTTTATTGATAGTTGTGTTGTTTTATCCTAATTTGTGTTGGACTCCCTTAAATTTTTAGCTGACAACATTTCTTATTTATTTGTGTCTTAATTTCCTAGTCAGGTTACTAAATTAATTATTTATATTTTCACTTTAACTTTTAGATTTTATTGTTAATTACTAGAATGATTTCGTGGATTAATTAAATAATCATTTT